ACCGACTGACGTTCATGTCCATTTAGGGAGACTCCTCAAATACTCCATTTGCGAGCCCTCTTCCTTTCCAAAAATGTAGGGATGGGGCTGGAGAGATGGCTCAGCGGTTAAGAGCACTGACTGCTCCTCCAGAGGTCCTGAGTTCAGTTCCCAGCAACCACATGGTGGCTCATAACCATCTATAATGAGATCTGGCCAGCAAGCGTACAGACAGACAGAACACTGTATACATAATAAATAAATAAATAAATCTTTAAAAAAATGTAAGGATGGCTTAGATCAAAAGGGAAAAAGGTACAAAGACTTCTGGCTCCCGCCTGACTGCTAGAAATAATTAAAACACAGCTCTATGACTTCATTAAGTCGGCTTTCTTACCAATGTTACAAAGACCCTGACAGCTCTTGCAATACATAATTGAATGAAGAGGGATAAACTTTGAATTGGCAGTAACCATTTTGGCTATCTGTTGACTGAAAAATGACTGAATTGTATGTAAATGATGGTATACACAAATAAGCTAAAACTCTGTGAGTATTGTTCCAACAGCTCACTGTGAAAAACTTAAAGGACAACTGTCAGAATTTTAAGTTATTCTTGGGAAAGCTCACCCTTTGGTAAGAATCTAGAAAACTGAGCTGAAGAGTATCACAGACCCATCAATAAAATGTTCAGTTCATGTTTGCTTACAGAGATTATGACATAGGTTTGGTTTTTGTGGTTTTGAAACAAGGTCTCACTGTATAGTCTTTGTTGTCCTAGAACTGGCTAGGTAAACCAGGCTGGCCTCAATTCAGAGACCTCCCTGCCTCTTCCTCCCAGTGCTGTGACTAAGTATAAACGACCATACCGAGCCCTCCCCACCTTAAATACACATGAAACTGTGGACTAATAGTTTCAAGAATGACCTAAGTTATGAGCCGGTCATCTAAAGACTCATTAAAAACAAATGTACCTGTGGTGTGTCTGTCAATGATAATTTGAGGCTGGTCTCCAAATACAGGAACCCAGCTAACTCAACCCTTTCTTCCTGCCTGGTGGTCCTTATTCTAACAGTGTAAGTCTGGTCGTATGGAATCATCCTTGTACTGCCAAGAATCGGGTCACAAATAGCCTTTACCGTCTGAGGGTAGAAGGGACGGCTCACAGGTATTTAAGACAGAGCTTTTAAAATCACTTTTTCAAAATACCAAAGAATAAAAAGGAATGTGGTCTGTTTCCTTTTTTAAATGCCCTGAAGTATAGTCTTATGTGTGTTTCTTATCTACACATCTCTCAAGGCTGGTTGCCATAAAGGCCCAATAACCTGCAATGTTTAAATACACATTTAAACAGCTTGGATTTTGCCTCAGTTTCGTGAACTATACTCCCCACAGATTGCCAGACTGCTAAGCTTGTTGGGCACACCCCAAGACACCTCTCTGACCATAGAGAGGAAAAAAGTCACTAAACTTTCACATGCTGTCTCCCCAATTTCTGTTTCCCTTTGTATGAAGCTTAGATGATTCAAATCATTCTTCGACATCAGTATTCCCCGTGACCACATGAGGCCCCAAATGAACACTTCTGTAACCATAATAGGTAGCATGAAGGCTCATGGATATCAGAAATCGAGCCTCAAAACGTTCCTTAAGAATATCTAAGAGCATGGACTGGAAGCATTCAAAAAAGAAAAGCAAATACAATTCTATGATGGAAGGCTTATCTTTTTTTAATTCCTGTTTAACAACCTAAGCGATAAAGTAAGTTAGTAAGCCATGCTAAAACTGCAGTCAAAACAGGGTTAACCCTCTACAAATGGCTGGAAAAAAAAAACTGGTATCAAACCTCACTGCTAACAGACTTACTTACCTAGGAGCAGCTAAGAAACAAGATGCAACACCTTAGCAATGTTTTTTCACCTAAGCGTACACTAAAGATACAACCAGAAATGACTACTGACATGGATTTCTCTGGCTTATCCAAGTCTCAAACCCTGGCCTGAAAGCCTGTGACGCAGTTCAGTTCAAAATTTGTAAAGCAAGCCATTTTAGCCAAAAAAGATTTTAATCCTGTTACATTCTAAACACAAAAATAAACGAGGTGGATTCGGAGTCTGCATGTAAAAGTTTGGCTGCAAGGAGCAGAGATGCACCTGGGCTCTGCATGCTCCCAGTCAGGTAATTAAATCTCAAAATCTTGCAGTTTCAGGTGCTGATGCATCCTAAAACTACTGGCCAGTTCAAACCCGAGGCTTAAAAAAAAAAAAGCACCACATTCTGAAATCGAAAAGCACTGAGAAAGTTTCTTTGAACTTTCACATGCAAAAATGCAGCCTGTTATGTTTGTAAGAGGAAGAAGTCTCAAAAATGTTAGCACAGGAAGAGGGAGAGTTCTGGGCATTTAGTCCTCAAGTCGAGGGGGAGCCGCAAATCTTTATTCCTTAAACCTGGACATCAGGACCACTGTTTCCTTCCTTGGAATGTGAAACTCAATCCCGTAATACTCAACACCCACACAAAACCAAAATGACTAGCCAGGCGTGGTGGTACACACCCTTAATCCCAGCATTTGGGAGGCATAGGCAGGTAGATCTCTGAGCTCCAGGCCAGCCTGGTCTGCATATAGAGCTCCAAGCAAGGAAAGGATACACAGTGAGAACCTGTACCAAAAAAAAAAAAAAAAAAAAAAAAAAGACTTGCCGAAGTGTGAGATATAGTGACATAAAGAAACCTTATATGCAATTCTAACAGAAAGTCACTTTCCAAAGGCCTTTCCAGCCTGTAATTACAGAAATATCTCAAAGAAAGGCAAAGATGATGAAAGGGATATTCACATCCTGTATCATTGGGATAACTTTTCCTATAACCCACATCAAACCAGGCTTCATGGTGCACAATTGTAATCTCAGGTAGAGATGGGAGGATCAGGAATTTCAGGCCTCTCCTAGGCTACACAGCACGCTCTGACCTACGTCTCCATACAAAACTTGAACATGTTGAGGCTTGTTGGATCACAAAGCAAAATGCAACTTAATTTTGAAGAAAAAGGTTAAAACTCATAAAGTAACACCCCTCAATGTTACTGTTAATCTTAACTATGAATTCCTAATTTCAACAGTCATCTTTTCTTGAGAGGATCTCCAATGAATGACTTTATTTTTTTTAAATACAGGCAGTGTAAGATCTTTTAAATTCTACCACTCTTAAAGGAAAAAAAAGGCCTGGCATAAATGACTTGCAGGTACGAACAGCAGCAGGCAGACACTCAAGTGGTTTTTTGGTTGTTGTTTTGTTTTTGTCAATAGCTAAAGCCAAACATTGACCAGAAGCAGTGAGCAGGAGCAACCAAGCAGCTACCATGCATACACAGGCTCCGCTCAACTGTCTGGGGAACAGGTTAGTCACAGGAAGCAGTAGGGTGCTGGGTCTGAGATTTGCATGCCTCCCTTCCTCCCTCCAGGGCCAGACACCACCTGATTCTAAAAGGCAGTTTTGTTAGACTCTCTTCTGATCTGTTCAAGTAGCCAGAAAGTCTGATAGCAGCATCAAAAAACACTTCTCCATTTCATTTATGATGAAATTTTAGGTCCTTAAGGATAGACCTTGGAGGTGTCTGCGAGGATCATCCTCTGGGCCTCAGGTCTGGAGAGTCCAAGTTCAAAGCCTTACCAATCAGACAGCTCTGAGTTATCAAATGCTGTATGTACTGGTCAAAAGTCGGGTGAGACCGGCTTTAAATCACAATGTAGTAAGTATAGTGCTCAAATTCAAGTTTGCTATAACAAGGGGCCTTTTAGGAAGAGCACTGGATGAAACATGTATGAAGAAAATGTCATAATGAGACCCATTATATGGTAGAAACAAAGAATCCTGAACTCCTGGAACGGCGGGGAGGGGTTACATACATCTCTGCCTGCATTCTGGAGGCTGAGCCAGGAAGACCGAGCATTGGAGGTCAGCCTGGGCTACACACAAGACCATCTCAGAAAACAAAATTCAAATTCCCCCAAATGGCCTGCCAATAACGTGTATGAATATCACTTGGATTCTTATACAAATTCTTACTATTTTTTTATTCTTATACTTGGTATGTTTAGTGGTGTATTTCTGGACCACATAAAAACAAAAGATTTAATCTTAAATTTAAAAAAGACAAAAAAACCTTCCTATTTTTTTGAAACTACTAGTGTAAGAGCATAACCAATGACTCAGACAACTTAAATGGCAATTTATTCCCAATGCTAACATGTTTAAAGGTTATCACTGCCCCTCCCCCCACCCAGCTAATTTAACTGCAAAGCAGAACTCCAATTTCTGCTTTCGATTTCCACCAACATACCTTTAAAAAAAAAAACCCTCCACAACCCCCAAGTTAGCAGCCAATGTTTATCCGTGACGTCTGCATTACCAACCTGCGCTGTGGCCAGCAGTTTCCCTTGCTATGAAAACAGTGACTCCGGAGTCAGGGCTTCCAGTTTAGAGAGCACTTCATCTACTTACCTGTGGTTGAATTCCAGCTTAGGGGGTTTTATGGAAAGCTCGCAGGTGATGAGAAGCATAAAGCAACAGATCTGTGCTGGGATTAGCATGTTCTTTTAGACTACAGGTCACCTGCCCCAGGACTTTAAAATGGAACGGATCCAGGGGGCAAAATAATTGTTTGTCAGAGGTGGCCAGAGAGGAACATGTCTATCTTCAGTTCACCGGGAAGCAGTGACTCACTCATGGTCCTTTGGGCAGCAGCAGCTTTGGAAGTGGGTACCTTTGACTCCCATCCTCATTTCATGAGATCATTAGCTTTTGAATGTGTCCATGTTTTTTAACTTGAGTTTTAAAAATAAAAAATAAAAACCTTATTCCTGTTTCTTCTGACACCTCATTGAACACATCACCCTCGCTCCTCACCCAATGTGTCTTTCTGTGTGACCAGTGTGCAAGTGACATTCAAACAGCTTACAAACCTAAGACCTCGGAGAAAAATACTTTTTAGCTGAACCTCTGTAATCATGACAGGAGATTGATTAAAATGCCAAGATAAGAAACAATTTATTATAGAGAGAAGAAAAATTTCTCATCCAAAATATAGAAATCTGTACAACTTTGCCACAATCAATATACATGAACTGTACAAATTTACACCAGTTCATAATTTACCAAATAAAAGATGACTAACAAAGTTCACAAAATAGATGGTGGTTTGTGGAAAAAAGACTTTTACCCAATTAAGTACAAGGAAAGTTACAAACCAGACCTCCACTTTCTAAAAATAAGAAGTTTAGTCAGTCTTAGAAAACTACAAGCTAGCAAATGTACAGAGAGTTGGCTGGTGCTAACAACCACAGTTGAGACAGTGTCTTTTTTTTAAGGGTCTTTTAAAAGCCTGTTGCCACGGCAGATTCTGGTCACTTGCTACTTTCAAAGCCAAAAACCACAATACAAGGTCTGACCATTTTCCCGGGTCATGCGCACTAGTAAGTCTTTATGTACATTTATACATGTTAAGTGCTAGGTAAAAGTCTGTGTAAAATTTCCAGTACTACCATGCTTAAAGCACTGAGCTTTCCTATTGAGCTGCCAAAAAAGTTACTGATAACTTTCAAGTGTAATAGTGCAAGTTCCCCTGCAAGATCGACTGGAGGGGAAGGTTCTTCGAAAGACAGATTTTCCTTAAAGGGACCGATGTGACAAACTGGGTATAAGGTCTGGGAGAGAGACTGAAACCACCCTGTGACTTCACTCCCTAGCAAACAAAGTGATCCTTCCTTAGACTCACAGGCTAATTGAAATCACTGAAAGGTACTGTCCAAGCTATGGCACTGTCCCTTAAAAAAGAGAAAAAAAAAACAAAAAAATTATTACCACTCTATCTTGTGCCAGATCTTCACAGCTGTGACATGGTTTAAATTCCATAATCCATCCCCAAGAGGAGCCCACCCAAAGCAAAAAATCAAATTTATCCATCCATTATAAGATGATCCATCCATAGACTATATCTTAACCTGATACAGTCATCATATTGTAGTTTTTGGAAGGGCTTGTTCTGCCCAAGAGAAGTTCCTCCTTACAGCTGATTCTGCTGTCTACCATTTGCACGTTGGAGCTGTTGTTTGGAGTGCTGCCTCCTGCTGGTGAGGCTTCGTACAGCACACAGATGGAGCCATCCTCTCCAATCCGGTAGGACACTTCATAGGGGTCAACCCAGAGTGTGAGTTCACTTGGGAGAAGCCTGAACAACTCTTGACTGCTCAGTCCAATCCGCTGGGCTGCCTGTCCAATCAGAGGATCCATCTTGTGGTTGATGCGAATACAACGGTAACCTGATCCCTTGCACGGCTTTTCTGGGAACCAGTGATGTTTGTAGTGTTCTGTGGAAGAAAACGACAGAGAAACAATGCTTAGATCGGTACATATGGACGGCACTTTCCTCCTCCCGCTAGTCTTGGGGGAGCAAAAGCGAAAACCGCAAACTTTTTACAAATGTCCAGGATTGCAATCGCTATCTCGAGACAGGATGGAGAAAGGGCAGACTGGATTTCCGAATGAACAGTGTGGCAAACACTGTCCCGGTCCTGACCAGTTGAGCCGCCAAAACAGGAATCCCGCGAGCAGCCAGGGCTGGCCAGCTATGGCACAAGCGACCCGGGCGGGAACCTGTTTACTTTCTCCACCCCACCGGGGTCGCACACAATAGACTTTATGGCTTTTTCTTGGGGGGGGGGGGAGCAACGCCACAGTTAACTGTTAACCCCGAAGGAAATAAGAACAAGAAACCCTAAACCAAGATCTGGGCTGGGGTGTAACTGTACCGGTGACAAATCCGATGATTAATGGGCAAGAAGCACAGGAGGTGAGGAGACCTGGCACGTCGGCCCGGGGCCGGCTCCGGGACAAGGAGGCGACAAGCCACCAAAGGGGTTTAGACGGCGACCCCAGCAACGGTCGCGGAGACCTGGCGGGGAGGACCGACGGGACGCCGGACTCCGGCTCTTTTGTCCCCCGCAAACGGCCGGTAGCCGTCGGGGCGCAGTTCCGCGTCTCCCC